AAGCCAGAAATGTCACTAATTCACCCTTCAGAAATTTTATACTCAGATCGTAAAGTACCTTTTTTCATTTGTGTATTCTACTGCACATAACTTTTGGGTTGTTTTATCAACCTGAAATGTCAGATTTTTTTAAAAAAATACTTTTAAGGATAGGATTTTGTAAGCTGACTAGCTTGTGGCAGGAGCTGTTTTTTTGATTTGTGCTTGTATTAGTGTGTTCTCTTTCAGTTTTTAAAGGTAATTTCAGTTATATATTTTATATATGTGACCCCTATTCTTACCCTCGCCATGTCTGGTATGACTTTGTTTAGTGTTAGAGCTCTTTTTGACCCTTATGGAAAGGTCACTAATGGAAGGAACTCTCTGGGCATTAGGAGCCAAGTGAAAAGGACTCTACTTTGTTGTTCTAGCAAATGTATTTCACACGGTTGAAAGGCCATGTGGAAGGTGAAATAAGGCCAGCCAGGGCATACACAATCAAATGTAGCTTATTGGCTCTCTCCTTTTCCTCTTCTGCATGAATTTTGCTCAATTTCATCAAAGAAGGATTTTTGTCTATTTTATATACTGCCATATCCCCAGTTTTCTAGTGCCTGGCACATAGTAGCTGGTCAATAAATATTTGTTAAATGGATACATTTAGAGTGAATGTAAGAATATTTATTCTAACTGTACTGTACAAATGTTGTGAGAAATAAGTGAGTTGATAAATAATGCACTTTAAGATTAAAATCAGTAGCAGTAACAAAAAATAAGATTATACAGATGAAATTATGTCCTATTATTTCTATTCCTTCATCATATATTTACTATATGTGCACGGTACGTGCTTGACTTTATTGTGTCATGAGCCAAAACACAGGATCTGTGGAGGAGAAAATGGTGATAGTCATCTGCAGAGTTGAAAACTAAATAGTGTTGGGTTTTCCGTAATTACTCTTATAAGTCTGCTATATCAGTCTGCTTACATGATGTGCTGGGAGGAAGAAATAAGTTTTTTTCTACTTGATCAAACTATATTTTAAAAAAAAGAGTTCAACACTACTTTATTAAATAGATATTTGTTGTTGGCTTTTTCTGTGCCAGAAATCGGCGATGTCTTATTTACATGGGAAGAACACTTATGACCTCCCCTGCCCCACTTTTTCTTGTGATTCTGTTGCAAACATTTCAGGATTGAATCTTCAAAAAGATGTCATCTTTCTTCCAACCAATTTCTTGAGTAAAGTCTTCCCAAGGGAAAGCAAGAACTTTTGGAAAAAAAATTCACATTACCCCAACAGCAAATTTAAGGAGGACCTGCTGCTGTGCAAGAAGCCTGTCATCCTAATTCAGTACATTTCTGGAGACCTCAACATAAGAAAAAAGTATTTTGTTCAAACTCCTGTTGACCGAATTCTCCCAAGACAGGGTTAGTCTGCCTTCCAACTTTGTGTTTTCCTTGTGTGATTGGTTAAATTTGTATATGAGGGATGTCTTGATTTTTGAACGTTGTCCTATGAACTATTTGATTTTTAGTTTAAGGAATTTATTTATTTGCTTTTCACAAAGGAAAGGATGCAGGGATTATTTCAAATTGTGTTTTCATTATGGTATTTACAGATAGAGACATGAATTTATTTGAAGAGCATTTTTGATATTTATTGCTACTTATATCTACGTATCTATGTAACATGTATGTATGTGTGTGTGTGTGTGTGTGTGCATGTATGGATCTGTGTATCTATCTACTATTGATTATGTAGGGTAGAGGGGAAATGGCTCTGTCATTGGATTCTGAATTTAAAAATGCCATTCAGTAGAAATCTGGAGTAGCTATAATTACTATCATTGTGTCTTTTAAAAAAAATTTGCCACAAGTAGTGAAATTGTCTTTTACGTCCTTAACAAAAGAATCTGCCTATAAAGGCATTTATTGTAAAGAGTGATAATGATGAGATAATTGTGTTGTAATGGAACCCAGACTGAGGGAAAGAGTAAATTTTAGCGACTGACTATTGTAATTCCATCTGAAGCTTCAGACACATATGAGGGAGTTTCTAGCCTGGATAATGGAGAAGAGAGGTTTATTGTTTCCTCCTGATATAAAGATCAATAAACACTTTGTGGACCTGACAGTGTTTGCAAGCTATGAAATCTCCTTTCCCCCCCTCCTCTCTTGTGTAAACTTACTGCCATTCTAAACACATTTCAAAGAAACCAGTCTTTCCTTTTGTTCTGAATTAAATTCTCCAAAAGTGTGCTTGCGAAGTACGAACCTAACTTTGGTGCTGAAGGAGAATGGATGGGATTTATCCACAGCTTGCAAGGAGCCAACTGTGCAAAGTTGGATGTATGAGGCTGCTGCCTGCTGGTATTTTAAGCACTTGGGCACTTCTCTCCTTATTCAGCTGCGTTCTAGGGATGGGAGTCAGGAGAAGATGGAGGATTTCAAATACTAAGTTAAGTTGTAAGTGTAATTTTCCACCATTAGCCTTGCATTCTTGACTGTTGAGAAAAATCGAGGTCTCAAATATCCGGTTAACACAGATATCCAATTATTCTGATTATAGCAGTGGGATATATCATCTTAATCAATGGCATTAATGATGACAGTAATGAAAGAAATTACCAATTCCATTGGATATGTAATTGGAAAAAGCATTTTACTACAAGTTACCCCAGGAGACAGAATAATTTTTCAAAGAATACATATTACTAAGACACTTTCAAGTACGGGTCAATAAAAACATTACCATTTTTTATGGTAAAACTATAAAATATGAGGCTAAAAGTGTGAATCTAAAAATAAGATCAGACTGACAATTCTTGGCCATTAAATAAGGTATTCAGCTACTTTATGTGATTTATAAATCAAATCAAGATATGCCTGCCTGGAAACATCTTAAAAACCTAAGATAACAAAGTTTATTGTTTTGTTCTTCCAGAGTAACTAACAGAAATGAAGTGGAGGGCATATCAGAGTAAAGCATATCAAAGTTTCTGCCTTGGTGTTTTGTAGTAGTTTAAACCCTGATATGTTAGGATTTAAGGTTGAGAAGAATTGTGAAGTAAGGACATTTATTTCTGGTTGTCCCTATTCTCAACCCCTCTCTCTCTTATCAAAACCTCATGCCACAAAAATCTACCATAAGTCTCTCCCACCAGACAAATTAGACTGTGTATATTTTAAATATCTTATATTAAATTATTAGTTGAAAAATACCTCCGTTGATTTTAAGCACCTTAAAGGAGTGGGAACTAAGTTGGGGTGGAGAGGACTGGGAATGGATGGGCTGGAGATAATGCTCTTGGTGCCCCCCAAATCCTCAAATCAAACCTGGTTGTCTGGTCTCACAAAGTTCCAACATACATTGATGACTATAGAAGTGATGTCTGGCTGCTTCTCAGGCAGCCATCTGGAGGTCTCCTATAGCTACAGTAAAGTATCAAATGTTCTTGGTCTGTAGAAATCAAGTAGATATATTGGGAGATATGCACATACAATATATATAATTTTTGGTTATGTGGTATATTAATTTGGTATCATAAACTATTGTGTATTATTTTAAAGAGCTATTCCTGCTACTTCAGGGTTTATTTGAAATAAAGCTCATATGGCCAAATGAGGCAGATGGTGTCCTTATGTTTTATAATGCTTAGAGATTCTGGAGATTTTGCTCCTTAAATGAGTAAATTATGGACTGATATGTGTTGTGCCAATTACAGATGCCACTGCAGTGGGTTTGCCTTGGAAACTCCAGTGAAGAGCCCTTGTACACATAAGGAAATTCAAGTGTTTTTGAAGCTGGGAAGTACTGAAAGCTACCCCATCAGTACCTTGCTCCTAAGCACATCATATCATTAAAATTCTCTGTTGTTTGGTGTGAATGTGTAGACATGACTTGTGTGGGTCAACGTGGTATTTGTAAAGCTGAATGGCAGAGTAAGACAGGTAAAACTCGTGTAGTATTCTAGAAAGAATTTGAAAAAAAATAATACTGTGCCAGAAACATTTCTCTCCTTCTGTGGGCAGCTGTTCCCAATATCTCTTTCTTACTCACACCCTTTTACCCCCACTTCTTTCCCCAGTTACTAATTTTCTGTTCAGTAACGAGACAAACAAATGGCTAAGAATTACTATGTAGCTAAAAGTTTGGTTTCTCATGTGAGCAAGTTTTGATGTCTTTTGTTGGAGTTCTTCTAAAATGACCACATCCGTTCTTATTATGATGGCCATTTTTGTGGTAAATGGCTTGTTTTATTAGTTTTTAGAGTAAGCCGATTTGAAGAGAATTTTGAAAAATCAGGGGCTTTCACCGACTGTAATTTCTTTTCAACACCCAAGAACACCAAGCACTAGTGACATTTTTTTTTCCTTCTTAATTGTCCCCACTTCGGGACTGTGAGGGAACGATGTGCTGATCTACACTTTCCGTACCGAAAAGCCACTAGCAATGAGTGACATCTGCTTAGAGTTTACAAGGCATATTTTTAACACACATTATCCCCCCCCCCGCCATTCATGCAGGAAATGAATGAGACAGGCGGGGCAAGGATTATTATTAACTCCAATTTAAGGATAAGGAAACCGAAGTTCAGAGAGGAGCAGTGACTTGCCTAAAGTGAAGAAGCTGGAAACCATGTGCATTTTAGTGTCTACTTCTCTTGTGTCTAGCTCTTTCCACCATGATGTATCTGTCCACATGCCCACGAATTGTTCCAACCTCAACACACAATGTACACATTGTTCAGCAGAGACTCCCTATGTCGCCCCTTGTATGCTTTCTACGTGTGACTTGCTAAGGGACGGCTGGTAGCAATTTCCTGTTGGTTTTCCTGACCCTAATCTCCTCTCGCCAGTTGTTGAGTTCCCGAGCGGGCTTTGACTCCCACATAGACCTGTGTTAGAAACCACAAGGGCTCTTTCTTCCTCAGGGCTCTGCTTCCAGGCCAACCCGGTTCTCCTGTCCACTCTCATGTCTGTGCACTCCAGGCTCCCACGCATGGGTAAGGCTGCCATGAACGGAGTGACAAAAACCATCATCACGGCCAACTGCTTAGCTTACACTGCAGAGTCCGCAAAGAACAACGGCGTTACTTGTAGTTTGATTTCTGAATATGAAGGAAGCCATGAGTATCCTAGAAATCATTACATAAGCGAGGGTGTATATATTCTCTTCACAGATTGCATATAATTGTGCATAACCCACCCATACACATACCTTGGTGTAATTAAATACTTTGCTAGAAGGAGTGGGGAAGCAGTGTAATAGTTATTATATGATGGAGTGATCCCTAGATTAAAAAAATGAGCTCACGTAGAGTTCAATGAAAAAAAGTAAGGCTTTTCACATCATGCAGTATTAGCATTCTCCTGCCCGCATGTTTTTTCCAGAGTGACGTGTGATGATTTTGTACCTCTGCTCAGGAATGCAGTGTGTCATAAACACTGATGATGTCACCCTCACCCTCATTATCTGCCAAGTAAGCACGTTTCACATCCGTTTGGATCATCAGACTGTAGTTAACACTAGATTTGATGATAATTTAGTCCCTTGTTGGGTTTTATCTTCCCAGGGAGGTTGAAGCTGCAGAGCCGGACACGACCCACCCGGGGTAGTATTTGGATGGTTCTGCATGGTTCAGTATCTGAGATTTTTAAACTCCAAGGACCTGTTCTTGTGAGTGTTCTGAAATCACCAGACTCTCAGCCTCTGACTGGGTAAACAAAATGCCCCGTGTCACTTTGGTTGGCATTTGCATGACAATTTACCTATTTACAGTGAGAAGTAATTGGGAAATGAGGCTTGTTGCTCGAAGTCTGTATGATCAGTACATTTCTTCCATGAGGAACCAAGTCGTCATTAAAAGTTTGCTTTAATCCACTTGGACTCCAAGCAAAATGAGTTTTATGCCAAATTCTTCAATCAGGTTTAAGGAGCTAGCTCTCCGGTTGTAGGGTTCAGCCTTGCTAAAGAGACCTGATACTCCAGGGCCGTTCATAAGAGTTCCTTTTAGTTAAGGTGGTTGGAGAATTTCCTTAGTTTAGGAATAATCTTTCTCAATGTGACAGAGGGCCAGTATACCCCTGAACAGTGTTGGATATAATGTTTCATAAACTATTCCCCTCCCTTCTCTTTCCTTCGGGCTGCCCTCTCTAACTTCGCCTTCTTTCCCTGCACCCTGTTTTCATCCCCAAATGTTTCCGTGGCTCAGTGGCCCACTTTGCCTGGAGCTGCACCTTGGGCTGGATGATTGGAGAGAATTCTCTGTTACCCCTTTATAAATTATTGTTTAAGCTGGTGCATTTAAGGTTGACAAAACATTTCCCCATTTTCTGTGTTAATTTTGTAATTTAACTGTCAGGCAGGAAATATTACTTCCCTTATTTCCAAGCTCTTGTTGGGAAAACCACCCTGTGGCTCCCCAGCCCTGGAAACAATAGGGAATTCTTTGGAAATGCTCAAGCTGAGGCCGCAAAGAGGTTGTAAAGAGCTAGAAATTATTTCCTGACATGAGGACCATTGCTGTCCGGTAGGGTATTCAGGAGTCAAAATGGCACTAATTAGCCTTGTGGCATCTAATTGGCATCTTTGGGCTGTGAGGCATGCCTGGCAACCATCCTAGATGTTAGACACGGGCAGTTTAGTTCGATTTAACAATTTTTTGACTACTTGCTCATCAAGAGATTTTTTTTTCATAGAATCGTCATATAACACGCATACGTATCATACTGTGTACTTTTATCTCATTTTGACCTTATAACAACCCTGAGCAATAGTTATGCTAGGAATTTCTCTATTTTATAAAAAAAGGAAACTGAGGTTTAGAAAAATAAAATGCTCTTTCCAAAATCACACCATCTAGCCAAGAGTTAATTCCTTTCAACTGTAACCTTTTCTGCCTTGAAGACAGAAGAAGGTATTTCAGTTTAGAAAAGCAGATTAAAAGCTTGGCTTTTTGGAGGCAGGCGTGCAGAGATGAGACACCTAAGTAGACTTAGACACTACCTACGTGACTTTGGGCATGTTTTTTAACTTGTCTGGGATGAGTTTCCTCCACATTTATAAAATTGGGGTAATACTTCTTCCTCTGTTATAGGATTTTTGTGAGGACTCAATGAGGTGTTGCATGTAACATGCTGGACTTAGTGTTTGACCCTTAGCAGACAACAGCGTGTTTAATCCAGAAAGCCCAGCATTATTTCACTTTGTGGACTGAGTCGACCCTGGGTGCTCTGTGAGATTTTTTTTTGTTGTGAGGGTTTAGGACTAGAGCCATGTTCTCCACAGGTTTGTAGGATAGCATGATCCGCTGCCCCGAGAAGGTGTCTAGAACCAGTACCATCTTGTCTCAGTATTTTTATTCGGTCATTATTTTTATTCAGACAGCCAAGTGACCGAGATGTGACCAGTAAAGCATGTTTCTCCCAAAGTTACTGGATAAAGAAGTTAACCATCCTACCAGAACTATTTAAATAACAGTAACAACATTTATGAATTTGGGAAAACAATATGACAACATTGTTTTCATATCCATTAAAAACAAATAAAAAGAAACAAGGGATAGATACATGGAAGGCTATTTTAATAGTCAGCAAAGCCAAGTAAGTTACTAATGGGGGAAGATGTGGAGAAAAATCACAGGAGACCTAACTTTTTGTCTTGTTGGTGGCTCTCTCCAACCGTGTAGCTGAGGCAAAACACTTTGACCTCTCTGGATCTCCGTTTTTTTCATCTGTAGAGTGTGGATAATTATATCTGAGACTCAGGAAGTTGTTGTGAATATCTAATGAGATGAAAGAAAAGAAAGTGATTGGTAAACTGTGAAGTGTTCTACAAACTGAAGGTGGTGGTGTTATTCGTTGAAAACATCCAAAATTCTTGGGTAATTTAAATGTGCTCTTGCCTGAAGGTAGGGGAAGGACTGAATAAATCACCCTTTGGAGCTCTGTCAGTTTAAGCAATGTGTGTTTTCAGCTTCAATGGGTGTTGTTGGTATTAGGTCTTGTATCAAATTGAAATTCAGTGGCTATTTTTGGAAAGGGGTTAAAATAACAAAGGGGGAAATATTTGGAAAGCAAACATACTTTGTATAGGAAGACTTAATTATGCTGTCGATTATATGGTAGGTATATTCAGTTACAATCAGTAATTACAATGATTATAACCACTGTGCTTTGCTAATTAGAACATACTTCTAATAAGGCCAAGGTCATCAGTTTGAAACCTTGTATAGGTCAATTAGCATAATGTCAGCCTTCACCCTAAGCTCTCGTGGGGTCACTCAGATGTATACTTGTGTTCACAAGGAGAATAAAATTGAGATTGAAGGAAACCATGCAGATTTTCCACCAGTATGGTGGAAAGTAGGAAGAACACTACCTTAGAGGGCATTTCTAGGTTTCATTTTTTTTTTCTTTTAGCACACTTAATCACTTTTGCTTTTTGTGATTAATTATCTGGACTACCAGTTTTGTTTAGCAAATTATTGGCGTCATTCACTTGAAATGGTTCTGCCCAGCTTCCTGAGAGATGGTGGATCTGACCCTCTGTTTTCAAGTGCTTAACTCTGCAATGCATTTCCTCAAAATGACCCTGAGAACTACGAACTTCTTACTAGCTTTTTTCAGATGGGAAAATAGAGGCATTTTTTTTTCCCAAGGTTTCCTACTCCCAGGTGAAGAGATGGTAGCTAATTTTATGAAAAGGTCAGTAGCACAGCTGGGCTTGAAATACAGAGGTCCTGACTCAAAGTTCTATATTTAATTTGCTGTCTATTTTTTTGGGGGGGTGGTTTATATGTAGTAAGTTTAGTCAGAGGCTGGGAAAGTGAATATTTTGTCTGAATATTTAGCAAGATTGATGATTACTGCAATTACATCTCTTTCCAAAGTAGTTGAGCAGCTTGTCTGAAGTGACTTATTGTTGTTGGACTAATTTTATTAGTAATACCAACCATATCATTTGATCCATTGGTGTCTACAGGCTTAGCCATAAAGACCGGGTAGCTAGCATTACAATTTTGGTCACGTTCAATGACGGAATTTGGCATATCATGTCCTAATACACGAAATGCTCTTATGTCCTGGAGAATGTGGTGGTCCCGGGAGTGTGATGTCAAGGAAGAGAAGTGCCCCTCGCCCCCGGTTTAACTCTCACTGAGAAGCCTATTTACCACAGTCCCGCTCTTAGTGGTTCGGACCATGTTTTATCCTGTAAGGGAAGTTCATTTTTTACCATCATCTACCTTAGGACCGGGGATCACGTTTTTGAGGAAATGGAGGTGTGACTCCTTCTGAGCACCATCGGAGATCAGGGTACTAAAGGGATTGACAATTTTGATGAGAAGAGGAAGGAGAATATGCAATGGTGATTTCTGGAGACCTGTTTTGGGAGTTTAGGTGATGGGGGTAGGGATTTGGCCCGTCAGAATGTAGCCTCAATGTATTAGACGTCCAGCTGGTAGGGAAGGCGTGAGCCAGAGGAGGAAAAGAAGCTAAGGGAGGAGAAGTGGAAGTGAATCTTAGATGACTGGGCGAGTTTGCCCATGGCATTCTTTGGTATGCAGTTTTGGTGGAAAGAATGTTCAGTGTGTTCTCAAGAAGCAGACAACTAATTTGGATCCATGTGATTCTTTAATTGTATGTTGACATTAAAAAAATGCTATCTTATTGAAGACAATTTCCTAAGGGAAGAGATGCTGTCCTTGCAAAAGAAGACTCGTAACGTCTCTAACTTTGGTTCTTTTGCAGTCAGATGGCGATCATGGCACCAGCTGGACTATTCGACTGGACTGGTGCAAGGGTCAGTTGGGATAACATGCATTAGAAACTGTGAACTGTAAAGCGCTCAACCAAATACAGTTTTAAATGTTATGTGTGGTATAGGTCGGAGATTATGTGCTTGGATTCTGGAGCAGATTACCTGAGACTCAACCCTGGTTTTGTCTCTTCTTGTGTGAGCATAGGGCAGCTTAAACTTTGTGTGTCTTGGTTTTCTCAGCAAAATAATAACACCCGCCTCATGATGTGAGTAATTGTCCCACCAGCCATAGTTATGTTGTATGTATGCGTCCGCGCAAAATCTAATGCTGACGTAAGTGCATGGGAGTGAATTACATGGAAATTTTAAAATCCTGTATTTATGCCTCAAGCAGTATAGCTCTTTGTTCATCTAAGAAATTCATATTTGATTATAAGCCGTTAGTGACAGTTAATGAACGAACTGTGTTGAATTTGGCGGTTATGTATGTATACCTCTCAGAAGCTTACTTCTCTTGATATTTGAATAAAGAAACTGTTCTCATGAATTCTGACTTACTCAGTTCAAGTAAGGTTTCTGGAGGATGACTGGTCTTGATCATCATGTTTATACCTTAAACGAAAGGTTTTTAAACCCTGACCACACATTAGCAGCAGACCAGTTTAATTGGAAAATTTGGAGGTGGAGCTCAGGCACTGGTATTTTTTAAAAGCTCCCCAAGATGATTTTAACGTGCAGACAGAAGAGAAAACCACTGGCTTAGTCATCAGTAATTAAAATGTATATTCCTATCATTTAGTTTCTGACATTCATATTTAATTTTCTCATGTTTAAGTAAATAAAATGACATGGCTATTTACAGGTATTTCTTTAAAGGAGGATGGATGTATGGTTTCCGTTAATTCTATAGCAAATGGATCTGTGCCATAAAGGAGAAAGGAGAAGTTTGTTTTTAAATTGTGTGAAGCTGTGTCTGTTTTTGGCATGATGAAGTGCTGTCAATATTAAACAATATAGAATCCCAGAATGTTCAAGGTAAGAGGGACCCTCAAGGCATCTAGTAGAAGCAGGGTACACTTTGAAGCCTGTCCTGACCTGCCGTGGTTTATTCACTTACTAGCTTTGTGATCACGGGATATTCACTTAACTAGTCTGAGCCACAACTTCTTGATCTCTCAAATTGAGGTGAGCGTCCGCTCTATCTGGTGACAAGTGTGTTTCCTGTGCATGCACGCGTCTTGATTCCCTGCCTCCTGCCTGATCCCCAGGTCCTTCTGGTACGGATCTCCAGAGCAGGGACTGTGCCGGAGGCTCGGCGGGGCTGCCTGAGCCTGCAGGGCCAGCTGCTGGGAACGGCTTCCTCCCACTCCTCAGGGACCACTTCTCTGGCTCTGCTGGGACTGTTTCATGGCTGGCTGTTTGGATCCCATGACCTTCTGTGAGCTTCACATTTAATCTGCAGGGTCAGCACTGCTGGCCAAGCAGAGTGAAGCTGTTCCCGAGACTAGAGATGAAGACGGCTCCTGGTGGCTACGTGATGGCAGCTTCTGAGTACCTTCTGTGTAACCCCAGACTATCCATGTGCAGGACCCAGACAGCTGCCTCGTCTGTCCAGCGGTCTTCCTGTCCAGTACTTCTTGGTGTTGAGCAGGGACAATAGGAAACCCACTATCTCTCTCTCTTAGTGTGGGGTGAGCAGAGAAGAATCACAGATTCCTTTGATTGTCTTTTTGTGAAAGAAGAGTGGATTTTTGTCTTTTTTCCCATCCTTGTCTCTCAGATCCTCCAGCACCTGGCTATGAAATTATAAGGCCACCTGGTTCTTCTGTTGCACATTCTTTGTGTCTTAGGAAGGCGGTCCATGGCTTGTTTCTTCTTGTAACACTCAATGCTTGGGGTCCCGATCTCAGCTGTGGCGCCTCGGTGTCCTTCCCACTTGTAAGCCTGCTTTCTAGGTCTGTCCTCAGTCTTCATTTTCCAAAATTCTGCTTTTATCTTCATCTCTGGACTGATCTGAAGTTTTCATTGGAAATATTTATACTTTCTGCTGCCATTTTTTTAATTGTTTCTTCTGTCTGCCGAAATTGGCATTCTCTTACGGGTAGCGGTAATGGCAGCTTTACTGATTTTTTTAGGTGATAAGGATCTTGAAACATAACACTTGGGGGGTGGACGGTCTAACTTGTGCTCCTCCACTAGACTACAAGACTCTTGAGGGTAGGAGCCATGTTTTTCAGCTGAGCATATCGTAACTATCATTTATTAGGTATCTACTGTGCACCAGAGACTTTGCTTTATTTGAATTAATTTCCATAAAAAATAATGTCTACACGAGGAATTGTATCTCAGAGAGCTTAAGTAAACTGCGCAAGGTCATCTAGCTAGTGAGTCACAGAGCTGGATTTTGAACTCAACTTTGATATTAAATCTTCTTTTCTAAAATCGTGTTTCTAAACTCCCTCTTCAAGGAAGGGAATGGGTACAAGGTACAAGGTACAAGGTACAAGGAATGGGATCTTGGCCCACGGACCTGTTGAGTAGGGGACAGGTGTGGAGTTGCATTCTTAAAGAAGAAAAGGTCTGCCTATCTTCAAAGCCCCCATTTTTCCTGCTAATACGCTGACTTGCATCACTGGTGCACGCAGACATGAAGAAGTGGACCCTACGACTCTCCAGGCAGAAGTCGCCCCTGTGGAAGGCTTTGGCCCCCATGTGGGTCTTCACTTCATGCTATTTTATTCAGGTCAGAGAGACACTGAGATTTCGTGAAGATGTCTCTCGCCAATAAGAGCCATTGGTTGAGCAGTCAGGCAAACTCTGGAGAGAATTCACTGAATCCACGGTGATAAGATGTTCCGGGGAGTCAGGTGTGTGTGGAAGTCAGCCGTGGCTTGCTGACGAGGAGGAGACACTCAGCACTCAGCTTCCGGGCTCGTGGTTTAGACCCTCAGAACGTGCCCACTGGCTTCGGCAAGCCACAGGAAGTGTATAAATGCTTTCCCGAGTTGAAGCTTTGTCAGATATGCCCAGAGAACGTTTTCTTTTTAATGTATTTGGAAACTATAAATTTAACTCCTGCTGGGGAAGAAAAGTAATTGCTTCACAAAAGAAAAAAAGCTCTTTAAAAGGCTCCACTCCTCTTACAAACATGTGCTTTTTAATGACTGGGAAATTCCTGGTGCAGGGAAAAAAAGTGTCCTTCTGTACAAATGAGGTCATTCTGGTCTTTACTGGCCCTGTGCACTCGAGTTCCTGCTTTCTGTTCCATGTTTTGTGACCAGAGGTTATTGGAAGGATAATCCCTCTGTGCATATTCACTGCTTTTAGGGCACGTTGCCAAAGAGAAAGTTATCTTAGCTCACCAACTGCCAAGCCAGTGCAAGAGGCCCCGATCCCAGGGGTACTGAGCCAGTGACTGATAATGACTTGGTTTGGGTTGGCCTCGGGTCGAGTTTTGTGAAAGCACACTTTTCCTGTGCACTAGGCTTGCTATGTCCGCTTCGTCCTCCTTAGATTTCTCAGCAGCTCCATTAGTTCTCGGTTCAGACATGATGCTTTTTCCTTAGGTACATTCTATTTACTTTGCTTTGATTCCATCCCAAAGAGCAGAGACATCTGTACCAGTTTGAAGCCTCCTGTTCATCTTTTTAACATGATATAAATGAAAAACAGCTGTTGAAAGCATTCGCCCGGTACCTATTTCCTTGAACGTTGGGAGGCTGATTCCTCCTAAAATTAATTTCTCATTTGGTTTGGCTAAAGGGAAGCCTTAGATTTGCTCAGTGAAGGGGTAGCGTAGAATAGATTTCAGTGGATGCCCTTGATTTAATCGAAGTTCACTTTCCTCTGGCTTTAGAATAACCCTTTCCTGCCAAGATGGAGGCCGAAACTTGGAAGAGTATTGGGTAGGGAGGTTGCTACCTCTGGCCTGGATGTTTTCATAGAGAGGTGAATAGGGCAGGCGTTCAAGGGAACCTGGACAACAACCTCTGCAGTCTTTTTTAAATTGCCTGTTTTTAAGACAGCGACCTTTCTAGACCTCATCCAGGTTTGTGTGGTTCATCAGTGGCAGCCCATGAGATTGCCAACTGTCGTGAGGCCTCACATCTCGAGAATAGAATGTCAGAGTCCTTAAGTTCCCCTAAAATTCATCCATGGCTGTAATGAATCAATCTTTTGATAAGCCTGTGATAGATTATGCTCTGCCCGATTGACTCTGCATTTTTATATTTAAAAAATTCACACTCTTGACACTGAAAATTAGGTTCTTACCACAATTTCTTAATTAAATCTTTGTTCTGGGATCGTCACAGCTCCCTGGGTCAGAAACTCCAAGCTCAGGCTCTGTTGCCTAAGTAAGTCTAAGAAAAATGTCTTGATCTGGAATTAAGAAAGGCTATCTTTAGCTGTCATGGAGAGGAGAGGGTTCTACTGTTTGGTCAGGAATGACTTAGATATTTGCCACAGACGCCATTTCTTTTTTTCTTTAAAATTTTTTATTGTTATGTTAATCACCATACATTACATCACTAGTTTTTGATGTAGGGTTCCATGATTCATTGTTTGCGTGTAACACCCAGTGCTGCATTCAGTACGTGCCCTCTTTAACACCCATCACCAGGCTAACCCATCCCCCCAACCCCCTCCCCTCTAGAACCCTCAGTTTCTTTCTCAGAGTCCATTGTGCAGACCCCATTTCTTGCCCAGAGCACTTGTGGCCCCTCCATGAGGCTTTGGAACGCTTGCCTGGAATCTCTTGGGTCCTTGAAGAAGTCAGGTTTGACCTGGGCATGGCCCATGTTTCCTTCAGTACACCTCCCCTCCGTTGCCCCCAAGGCCTTGGTGTATTGTCGGCAGCCAGTGGATGTTTTATTGAAACTAAGACCCGGTATGAAAGAATTGGAAAAAATATGGCCGGGAAACGCTTTCATACTTGAAACTGAGAAATTCTGGGTAATTGCTGAGTGCCTCGTATTAGTTCCTGTGGGGAAAATACATGGCAAAATGTGTAATGGGTTAATATTGTAAAGTGAAAACACGTCTGAGATCAATCAGAAGGTATATAGCTGCCTCTGATGCTCAGAATGGGAATGGCACTGATTTGCTGATAATATATTTTATTATTATTATTATTCTCCAGCCTCAGACGATACAGCAGACTCTCAAGAGGACCCTGCAGTATTACGAGCACCAAGTTATTGGGTAAGTAAAATGGATTTTGGTCATTATTTGGGGCAAATTAAAGATAATTACTCAAGCATAGCTGTTGAGTGTGTGGTTTTCTGCCACCTAGGTGGGTCTTATTTCACACTGGCTGTGCTCCCAGGGTGGGCTGGGGGCTCATCGGGACCCCTACAGTGATTTCCTTTGGCCTGTTTGTGTTTAATCCTTTTCAGTGAAATTCCCTTTTAGTGTGGCCTTTCCTTTCCTTTTTTTTTTTTTTTTCCTTCTTGTGTTCTTACCCTCTTATTCCCATCCATTGAATCTGATGATTTTGCCCTGGGATTACAGTAAGGTTCAATGGTACCAACAGAGAGGCTTTAAATGGGATTTTAGAATTCTTTAGTAAAGTTTACTCAAAGTCATTACAAGCCTAATGGTTTGGCGAGAGGCATTGGTTTAGAGTCACATGCTACCTAGTTTTCTTTCATCTTCCATTTCTTGACATCCTTGTGATATGGGGTAAAGAAGACAAGATGAAGAAACAGGAGCTCACGGCCTCACCAGCACGTAGAACTTTGAAGTAACTTCACCTGTTTTGCAAAGGGTGACGATGATGGTAACAACTAATTGAGGATTAGATGCCATGGGTAAATGAGGTCATTTCTTTTTTTTTTATTAACATACAATGTTATTTGTTTCAGAGGTACAGGTCTGCGATTCGTCAGTCTTACACAAGTCACGGCGCTCACCATAGCACATACCCTCCCCAATGTCCATCACCCAGCCACCCCATCCCTCCCACCCCCCTCCCCTCCAGCAACCCTCAGTTTGTTTCCTGAGATTAAGAGTCTCTTATGGTTTGTCTCCCTCTCTGGTTTCGTCTTGTTTCATTTTTCCCTCCCTTCCCCTATGATCCTCTGTCTTGTGTCTCAAATTCCTCATATCAGCGAGATCATATGATAATTGTCTTTCTCTGACTTGTTTCACTTAGCATAATACCCTCCAGTTCCAACCAAGTTGCTGCAAATGGCAAGATTTCATTTTTTTGATGGCTGCATAATATTCCATTGTCTATATATACCACATCTTTATCCATTCATCTGTTGATGGACATCTAGGCTCTTTCCATAGTTTTGGCTATTGTGGACATTGCTGCTATGAACATTGGAGTGCATGTGTCCCTTCGGATCACTACATTTGTATCTTTGGGGTAAATACCCAGTACTGCAGTTGCTGGGTTGTAGGGTAGCTCTTAAATGAGGTCATTTCAGTGAGCATATTCTGTACATAAAAAGCTCCAAATAAGTGTAAGGTATACTTTCGATTGGCTATGGGAGGAAGCAGTTGGAAATACAGAAGCCTAAATTCACTTTCTGATGCAGTCTAGCTTAAAATAAAGGAATGAAACTCATGGACAGGAGAGGTGGTGCATATTTTAAATTCACATCGTTAATGTTCTGTATGCGCTACCATTATTTATTTGTGTAAGATTGTAAGAACTTTTGAGGAGTTAAGATCCAAACCCTGATACCTCTTGAAGTGCTATCGAGCATCATTTAACATTTGGGGCTAATAGTCAATGCCATGGGGATTAAGGATGCATTTTTGGTTATTGGGATATAGTGTGATTTTTTTTAAAGCAAAAACAAGAAAAGAAAATGGTGGAAAAATAATCTCGGTACCTAGTACAATTCTGTATACCTTAAGTACTTGGTGATTATGTTAATTGTCATTTCAAAGGGAATTGCTTTGAAACGTTGTCACATCAATTCTCAAAAGTGCAGTACTAGGAAAAGCATATTATTTAAACTCATGAGATGGTTTTTAATTTGAGGCCATTTGTGATTTTAAATGGTTTATCCTAACGGAGGTGAATGATGTCAAATTAATCTCTCCCCCCATATTCTAAAATAAAACTTAATCACTCTGCTGCTTCCCCAGTGTGGTATTTGGATTAAATTTTATTCAATATATTTGGAACAGTTTCCTGTGTGTGGTGAGCACTATGTATTTGTTTGCTTTTATGTTTATTATTACTATTTTTAATATTATAAGACAATACCAGTAATCAAATGCAAAGCATTTCCTGGAATAGTGAATGCCCTCTCTGTTTTGAAATGAAATCATAACTGGTCCAAGTCTCATTTGCGAACCAAGCTATGTCTTCACGGCAAATTGGAATGGGAGCCTTAGAACTATGATCAGAAGAGGTAACTAAACTATATTATCATAATCAGCAGAAGATTCTTTTTTCCATTAGTAACATGTGACAGAAAAGACATTAGGGTTTGAAGCCCAAAGAATTCTTGAGACGTTTTTGGTGCAAAAAGGTGGTTTTATTAAAGCATGGGGATAGGACCCGGGGGCAGAAGGAGCTGCACCGGGCTCGTGAGGAGCGGCCCGTCATATACTTTCTTTCTTTTTTTTTTTTTTTAAAGATTTTATTTATTTATTTGAGAGAGAGAGAATGAGAGATAGAGAGTACGAGAGGGAAGAGGGTCAGAGGGAGAAGCAGACTCCCTGCCGAGCAGGGAGCCCGATGCGGGACTCGATCCCGGGACTCCAGGATCATGACCTGAGCCGAAGGCAGTCGCCCAACCAACTGAGCCACCCAGGCGCCCCCGTCATATACTTTCAAGCTGGGAGGGGGTTAGGGAGAGCGCAAGTCTCTAAGGAATTTTGGAAGCAAGCTTTCCAGGACCTCGAGGGGGCTAGCTGTTGTTAGGACAAGGGCGTTTATTACTGTCTAATAAAACCTGAGTCATGAGACCCTTCAGATGTTTATCAGTGGGTCACATGCCTGGGGGATGATTGCCAACATGTATGTTGGTGGGTAGAGCTAAAGGAAGTTTCCAAAGGAATTTTTATATGTTAAGTTAGACTTCCAGGATCCTGGGGGTTGGGCTAAGATTGTCTTTTGCCCTTAGCAAAGCATTGACATCTAGGCGGCTGAGTCCCTAGAGGAATGTCACTCCGCTGGTTTCAAGGACTTGTCAGTGGGCTGTAGATAGTAAGGACATTTAATAATTTCTTTTCTGCCTCTGTTTCCCACATCAAGATGGAGTTCTTTTCTATCTAACTCACTGCCTCAACTCTCCTGTTTGCTTTGTGTACACCAAGCCTGTGGTGATTCGTGGCCCCAAAATGGTCTTTTCTAGTTCTGCTTCTTCCAGACACAGTGTAAAGAAAACAGCGCACGTGACTCGGATGATGAAGAGGTTTCTTGATGTCCGGCCGGTTCCAAAGAGACCTGTGAACACATTTTCACCTGGGTGTGAGCTGCTCACTGCCCTTAGTCATGTGCATGCTCATGAAGAGAAAACCAGCGGGTTAGCCGCAGTATTGTGACGTTTGCCTTTCGCGACTTGGTCTTCCCTCTTCGGTCTGTCCTGTTACCCCTGTCCACCTCCCTCTCTCTGCTGTTTCTCGTTATTACTGAAACAGGAGAGCATCTATTGTGATGAGCACTTGAATTAAGTATCCACACCTGTGTGCACTTCCTCTTGGGAAGACACAGGTAAGGCTCTTTCTCTCTAACTGAAAAGGAATGTGTTCCTTCCAGTTAAAGGGATTTCAGGCAATTGATAAGAAGTGCTGAGTATTGGTTTACATAGTTCTGGGGGGCGGGGTGAGGATGGGACAGAGGTGGTTTTCCAAATCCCTAAAGCAGGGCTTTGCCTAAGGTTTGTCTTGAAGTAATTCAGCTTTTAGGTGCCTTAGGCTGTGAGGATGAAGCAGGATGCATAACAAGGAGTATGAGCTAGCCCTTCTTTTTTTTTAATTTTTAAAAATTTTTAAATTTTTTATTTAAAAATTTATTTCTTATAAAACATTTGTTTTAAAATTTTATTATTTATTTTTTTAAATAAAAAAATTAAATCCCAGTTAGCAGACAGTGTAACATTAGTTTCCGGTGCACAATAGAGCGAGTCAGCACTCCCATCCTTCACCCGGTGCTCATCACCACAGGTGCCCTGCTTCATCCCCAGCACCTGCTTCCCCCACCCATCTCCCCTCTGGTCACCATCAGTGTTTCCTCTGTAGTTAAGAGTCTGTGTCATGGTTTGTCTCTCTCTTTCCTTTCAGCTCCCTTGTTTTGTGTCTTAAATTCCATATATGAGTGAAATCATGTGGTATTTGTCTTTGACTGACTTATGTCCCTTAGCATGATATTCTCTAGCTCCATCCGTGTCCAGAAGGGCACTAACCCTCCTGTTTTTAAGTCAGCCTCTAATTACCGGCCTCCCAGCCTCCCTTTTCTCTCCTTTAAAACTGCCCTTGGACCTGCTGTATTTATCCGGGCCTCGGGATTGTCTACCGCTCCTTGATGCGTTCTCACAGCAGTAGTTCATAGAACCTCTCTGAGGCTTTTTAGTCCCCACGATGCAGGGAGCAGCTGTTCAGAGGATCACACAGATGGAGGCCCGGGAGGGAGTAACCCGTGGAGCCTCTGTCAGGGAGTGAGACAGCCTCTCTGCGCCCCAGGAACTTTGTCTTTAAACATTTGTTCTGTTCCTCAACTTGTCCAATCTCTCATTCACGGATTTACTCATAGAGACCATTCAAGTTGTTTGCACTGTCAACCGCGGCTTCTAGATCCAGACCCCGATCTAGTGCTGTGGCTTCTACCCCGTCCCTCAACATGGCATGTCCACCACCGTAAAGTGGTTAAACAGATTAGATCATGCCCTTTTCTCACGTCGGACCACCGGTTCTCAGGTGTTAACATGCACTAGAACCACCTGCAGGTTCGTTAAAACCCAGATGGCTGGCCTCCACCCCCAGGGCCTCTGACCCCGTATATCCCATGCGCGCAGAGTGGCATTTCTAGCCGGTTCCCAGATAACCTTGGTGACCGACGCTGTGGGGCCAGGTATTACGCTGTGACATCCCTGCTTTCAACCATGTCATGACTTACCGTGATAGACCAAAATCTGAACTGTTCCTGTGATCTGCCTTCACTCACCTCTCTGTTACCCCCCTCTGCGTCCCCCTTCACTCCCTGCCCACCCGGCCAGGCGGCTGTGGGTTTCCCAACTCCTGCTTAGCCTCAGGGTCTTGGCATATACCATTCCATTTTCCTGGAATGGTCTGTCCGTCCCCATGTGCGCATGGGTTACTTTTTTTATACGTTCAGGTCTCTGTTTAAATGTCATTATCTTCAGAAAAATGTACTCTGGCCACCCGATCTAGAGAAGCCCTCCATCCCCTACTTCCATCTCCAACCCTGATCATTTTGTATTCTATTCTTCTCTGTTATTCCTTATCGTAGTGCTTATCAGAGCTTGTTTTGTTGACTTATCTAAATGATTTATCTCTATGTTCCTATGCCTTTGTAATTGCTTGGTTCGTAGGAGGGACTAACATGGTTTTTTTGGGGGGAAGGGGGAGTGTGAATAAATGAAAGAAATGCACCCTGGAGGTAAATACACAGAAGTGTGTGCACAGTGGATAAAAGAGTAGATTGTGCTTGGAAGGGGGTATAAAAGGAGGACTTGAAATACTCTCCAGGGTCCATTACATTTCTAATGCCAAGAGCCTTTCCTGTAGAGCATACAATTTTACTGATTTACTTAATTTCTCATGCTTAATGTTTTGCCGCTGTGTGTCAGATGGACTTCGTGGTAAGTTTCTTATATTTTTAATTTTTTTTTTTCTGTAAACTGCATGAGCGCACTCACTCAAACAGCGCCCTGTTCCTGTAGCATCGTCTTCTTGCCTCGATGTAAAATGAGGTAAAGGGGCGCTGAGCGTACATCTTCATGTACGTCTCTGTAACCCAGGCTTCTAGGGGGTGGGCTCACTTCCCGGACAGTGTGGCTTGGGAAGAACAGTGGGAAACAAGAGGGCTAAGTGGGCGGCAGGCCAGGCTCACCTTCAGAATTCAAAGGCACCGGGATTGAGGGAAGTCTGCTTTATGAGGACTCTCTCCTCTGATGTCATTTTTGACATTATGCTGTGTCTCTGTGCGTCTTTGTCCTGTGGTTTACAGCCGAGGGCTGGGAAAACGTGCCTTGGGAGTAGACCTACCACAGGGCAAGTTTACTAGATTGAAAGTCAGATTCTGCTTTTGAAGGGTTTAGGGCACATGCCCTAACCTCCGCGAGCCTCTGTTTTCTCATTTTTAAGATGGTAGTAATAGCAGGGTTGGTTGGGCTGCCATTAAATGAAATGATAATGATAACCTCAGGTCATAGAATCATGTAAAGTACTACAGTGCTTGGTACACAGAAGTCATCAATGTGTTCACTGAATTATTATTATTGCCACTCTTCGTCTCTGACTCTTCTACACCTCAGTGTTGGATTGTCTTCCCCTTTGCCCTCCCTCTGCATTATTTGCCCTGTGATCCTTGAGTCTGTAGAAGTTTGGAATCCTTTGTTTACCATCAGGAGCTAAACATGCTCCATTCATCTTCTAGCTGCAGCTTCTTGTCTCAGAGAGTTTGGATTTTTTTTTTTTCCTTCAACTAAATTTCTGCCTCTAGAATGCCTCACCAGCCACCCTCGCCCATGTTTATCCTGCGTGACTCCCTCCACGTCCGTAGCTCCCGAGGACGGATTAGAATTAGCAAGACAGTACAGGCAAAGCAGAGGTGTCTTTAAAACTACGATTGGAAAACATGATAATCCGGCTTCCTGGGATGTAATGTTCAATCATTATATATTTTAAAAACTGAAGTAAGAAGAAATAGGTGTTCAGAATCATGCCACTCATTTTGTACTTTTTTTTTTTTTTGCAAGCAAAAGCATCATTATGCTCATCACAGGTGGGCCTGCTGCCAACCTCCTATTAGTTTGGGACATTTCCTATAGTCATCTAAAATTAAATTGTTATTCCAATTATCACCGTGGGCCCCGTGTTTGTTTTGTACAGCCAACCTTCTGTTCTTTTTTCCTTTGGACAATTGAATAGGGATTAAGCTAAAATAATTTCCATAGAACACAAGAAGTGGGTGAACCCTGATTATTCTGGAAACAAACTTAAATACTATTACTTTTGTGGTCATGGTCAGATTGTGTGGCTCTACAATATTTAGAAAGTGATCTAGCTTCTTTTTCATATATTTACATAGAATATCTATCTGAATGAATGAAAACAATGTTAGGTAAAAGCTATTATTTATTGATTGATCACTCTTTTTGAGGCAATGTACTGGGCACTTCACATCTCTTATTTTTTATGTAATCCTGATCATCTATTTCATAAGATCATTGTATAAAGCTCATTTTACAGATAAGGAAATTGAAGCTATGAGAAAAAATAACTTGTGGTGATTCCGGTTAAAATAAGGGAGGCTGATTTTACAGTAACCCTGTATTTGTCTGTCTTTAATGACTGCCTTCCCCATTCCACCTTTTATTGAGTGATTCCCGCATTTTGGAAACCGTATTGAGCATTTTGCCAACCTGGTTTATTGGGGTCTGATCTTGGCGAGGTGTGCAAACACGAGGCCGTGTTATTTATTTTTTTTCTCTTCAGTCATTTCAGACATTCGAGGATGGGTCGGTCCCCTTTGATGCTAGCTCAGGCAGATTGCCCTGATTTCTGGGAATTTCCAGGGAGTATGAAGTCCACTCCAGCTGAGTTCACACCTTCAGTCCCGTATCCAGTCTCACCCTTACACCCCTCTCTGCCTGTGTCAGGCCTTGGCCTGAGGGACTGGGAATGCCGTGTAGAGGGGGAATCCTGTGGTTTTTCACTGCTGGGGTCCAGGCCGCCCCTTTCTGGGTTCCTCTCTCTTCTGATGTATATTGTATCAGGCAGGAATGAAATGGAAAATGGCAGAAACCCTTTTTAATTCACTGATGTTTGTAACATCAGTGTAATTAAACACTGATGTCTTGGCTGTGATGCCGTCAGTCAGGTATGTATATGGGTTCTGCCTGGACTGCTTCAGATGGCCCTGCTCCTGGCCCCGAGGATTGTACTGGCAGGTACAGTCTGGCAGGTGGGATCCCTCTCCGGCTGGCAGCCTCTAGATGGGGAAGGTAGTCCGCGGGGACAACAAAAGCACCCTCTCTTCCCTCATATCTCCCTCACCCACGGGGAACTCCTGTTGCTTGCCAATGGAGGTATGGTAGGCTGCTCCTGTTGGCTTCTCTTTCTTTTCCCCATTAATAACTCTTTCTGGAACCTTCTCCACTCAGGAATTAGGCTACCTCAGCAAGCGTTCATGGTGGGATGCGGAACCCAGCCCCCAATCTCAATCATGGTGGACGCTCTTTCCCCAGCTGGGCTTCTGCAGAAAACTTGTCCTTTCTATTTTCTTGGAGGAGAGGGGAAGAATAAAAACAGCACTATCTTCCTAGGCCAGTTCCTCACTCCTCTGAGGATTGCCTTTCAAATTTGTTTCATTCCTTTGCTTCTCAATGACAGTGACTCGAGTTCTTCAAGTTCTGGCGGGAACAGCTACTCTTGGGGAACGTGGGGGCCTTAGGTCCCTGTCTGTCTTCAGCGTTGGTGCCTTGGCTCCAATCCAGAGGCAGCTGGAGAAGTTCAGGCAACACCTGATGACACGGGCATTTCGTCATTCTGTCCTTGCAAGGACTCAGGGAGGGGGAGGATCTCCATTTTATGAGGGAGGCTAGTTAGACCCACAGTGATGAGGTCACTTGCCCCAAGTCTCACAGAGAGACAACGGTAAGACCCTATTCAAGTTCTGTCAGACTCCAAATGCTTCCTTAGCGGATTTGTCATCCGTGCACCATGTTGCTCTCTCCTTGACTGTGCAAGAGGTTAAGACGTGTTTACTTTTAACACCGTGCCCATGCACCAAGTAAGAACTGTGAGTTATGCTTTTTGCTCGGTGTCTTCCTTATAGGAACAGATTACCCACTGTGGTGAAGTGCTCCGACGAGGAAGCACTCGCGGTGCAAACTGCTGGATCTTCTCGTTCTCCTCCTCTGTGTTTTTCACCCACAGCTTCCTTATTAGTGACGGCCTCCAGTTCCCGGTCCGCACCGTGAATGCTGATGTTAGTGGTGGCTTATGCCAGAAACGGTGTCTAAAAGCTGCAGTTATTTTAAAATGCAATTACACCAGGGGCACAGACGGCGTGTGCTTGTGTGTATGCATACACAAGTGCATTCGCAGATGGTTTAAAAATGGTCTCCGTATGCTAATTTTGTTTTCTTCTTAGTTACAGGGATGCAGAAAGGAATTTCCACAATATCTCCAACAGATGCTCCTATGCAGACCATTCCAACAAAGAGGAAATTGAAGACGTCTCAGGAATTCTTCAGTGCACTGCTAATATACTTGGTATATGAACTATATATTAATATGGGTGAGAGAGAATGAGGGGAAGGTGGAAAGGAAGGTATAAACATTTCATTTTCTACTAATGGGAGGTTTAGAGGTGAAGGCAGAGGAAGATGAAGACCTTGTCTTCAAGTGACTTGATTTCCACACTCCTGGAGATGTTTAAGTGCAAATTACATGCCTGCCATTTACTTGGAGGTTGAAAAACATAGTAATAAGAATACTCACATTCCAGGGAAACCTGGGATTGGTATGTTGGTATTAGCCTCCTGTGATCCATATTTTTCTGGCTCTTAACCTCGACTAAAGTTGGGGATCTTCCTCTCTGAGCCCGTGATTTCTAATATCTTATTATTTCTAATATTATTATCACTCTGTTACTTGTGAGAGGCCGTGGTTGGAGCGGGAGGGTGGCTCACACATACTCCTAGTGGACTCAACAACTCAGAGACAGTGAGGCAGGTCATCTACTGAGTCTTTGTCCGTGTGTGTGTGTGTGTGTGTGTGTCCATCTTGAAGATCCTAGTGTTCGTGACAGCAGAACTGTTGCTGGGTGCTCCCAATAGGGCTAAGAGGTGAGGTTCTAAGGTGTACCGAATCATGCTGCCTTAAGGCACCGTGAGTGGGCTGTGCCATCTCACTATCTGATGTTCTTGGTGTGTGATACCTACGTTTTATTATATGCAAAGTAGATATCATTGCAGGGGTATTTTTTGCCCTAATGTCTTACATGGGTTTTTAGTTAAAAAAAAAAAAACTTTTTAAATTTTTTGGGGAATCCTCCCTTTTCCTTATTACTCAGACAGGGATCTGCGGAGTGTTGGTAGGGAACAAGTCTTAGTGACTGACTCTGTGTAGAACTCAGAATCCCCTTTCCCTCAGGGTCTGATGATGAAGACCCCGCAAACTTGTTTGCCTGACTTTCTTTTCCCCGTAGAGTAAGTGCTCTCTTGGGAGACCTCGGAGTCCCTCCTACAAACAGATTCCAGGTGACCTCAAACCATGAGTGTACCAGGTTTTCCTAAACATACCTGACTCCCAGAGGTAGATCTGGCTTTTACATTGGAGCCTTGATGACACCTACCCAGTGATAACATTGTCATCCTGGGTAAACAAAATATTCTATTAAGAACTTGGACCTTTCGTGAGGGGTGATTTGTCTATAATATAAGCAAGGGAGTGATGGACAGTGAAAAGGAAGCCCAAGGATTTACTTACCTTACTACGACTGCAGGGATGTCCTGCTACCCCAGTAAACTTAATTATTACAGAAGAGGAGGGATGAGAATAAATGGGGGCTGGGGTTCGGCATTACCCAAGAGCTTTTTACAGTTTTTTTTATTTTCAAGAATTGTCCATCAGTTAAAAAAAAAAAAAGACCAAAATAAGGTTGCCAACTTCGTCAAGTAAGGATAATTTGTTAAAGTGATCATGTTTTAATGCCACCATTTTATAAAAGAAGGGACATTTTAACTCTTTCCAAAATAGGAGAGATTATTATATATTAAATATATATATTAAATATATAAATATATATATTATTATATATTAAATGCCTTTAAATGGAATTTAAATGGAATAAAATGGCATTTAATGGAATAAATGGGCATTTAAATGGAATAAATTTAGATTGATGACAAAAAAAAAAGAAAGAAAAAAGGAAAAGACCCAGCTCCATCACTAACATTTATTTCTCTTGAGACATGGCGGGTTAAGATGATGCCGCACAAAGGGATGCATGAGAATCTTGGCAGAGGGATGTATACTATTTTGAAAAGTGATTCTTGACTTACTCAGTTTGTAAATATTTCACTGCCCTTCACACCTCCTTGCCTTATGCTCCCCACCTTACCAATGAGAGGGGGTGGGAAGTGTTCACAAGAAATCGATGAGGATGCTAAAGACATCTGTACTGGCTTGCACATGGGTGTGCCCGGAGTCGCATGAACTCTAGGTCCGACCATTGGGTGCGGTAACCACCAGGGGGCGCTGTTGACCAAGCACAGCTTCGTTGCCTGTGGGATTCCCTCAGTAGTGCGTGAGAAGAGCCTCAGGCAGTGCTACCTGATGATATAGGGAAAGAGTGGTTTTAATAGACAAAAGAGATTAGATTTTTATTTATTTATTAGAGAACGAGAGAGAACATGAGCCAGAGGGAGAGGCAGACTCCCTGCTGAGCAGGGAGCCTGTTGCGGGGCTCCATCCCAGGACTCCAGGATCATGACCTGAGCTAAAGGCAGACACTTAAACAACTGAGCCACCCAGGCGCCCTGAGAGATTAGATTTTATTTTCCCCTTGGTACTGATGGGTTGTTCTTAAAATGCAAAAAGTGTAATATTGTAAAACTTAAATTTCTGAAGAATAAAACGAAATGTCTGCAATCTGTTGACCAGAGACTGGCATGGATCCGACAGGCAATGATGTGCCTGAGCGTTATCTTTTCTCTTTTGAGTTATGTCTTTTCATGACTCTTGCAATATAGACCGCCCAAGGACAAAGGGAACAGCTTTACTAGTCAGAGTCAATGAAAGATTTGTTTTCAACAAGTCACTGAACTATGATTGATCTCGGCTTGCTCAGATTTCCTCTTGTTAAATGACATTTAAATTCTCCTGTGCAATCATTTATGAGAATGCAAGAATCAATCAACTCCATGAACAGAAGAGCAGAACATGAGAGGAAGCCATCTTTTGAGTGAGGGAGTTTGGCTTGGGAATAGAGAGTCTCAACCACGGTCAGAGAATCCTTCTAGGTGGGTACAGAGGGTGGTTTTCCAACCGCATGATTTACATTCATTGCCGTTGGGGAGCATGGTTAGAAGATGGGTGTATTGGGATGGGGGAATACATACTTCTCTCTTCTTAACAAGGAGGTTGTGGTAGAGATGAGAAATGTGTGTGTTCACTCATCTGTGTGTTCCTTACACTTCACTTATTATCAAGAAAGATTGAAAGTCCTTCGGTCAGAAAATAGGACTAGCAAAGCCCATTTTTCTTCTTTCAAAAATGATTATATCTATCAGCTTAGTATGTACCCCTCTAGAGGGTTTGATCATGTGCTGGCTTTTTAGGTTGAAGAGAGTAGGAGAAATCTTGCTGCAGAAAACCAGCTTGGCCTCTGTCCTGTATTTGCTCTGTTGCTTCCTCCCTAGGACTCCCTGGAAACACATGTGCATCACAGAGTGGTTCATGCCCCTGCTAGTAACGGGACAGAATTGTTTCCCCATCAACATTTTGCCATTTATTTCTCTCTCTCTCTCTTTTTGGCTTAGAAACTGGTTGTTGCGATTTTTTTTGCCTCATCATTTACAATTTAGGGATATTAAGTACAGACTGCTCAGAATCCTGTATTTGCCTCGTTTTGGTTGGTGCCCTGGACATCCCTGTGTTAATGTGGGACCATACTCCAAAGAGGCTTTTAAACTCTGGGAAAGGCCATACAGAGAAATATAGCTGTGAACTCTGCCCTCCCTGCTGGAGGCTTTCTGTGTGAAATTTACTGCTTTATTTGGAATATATCTTCTCACCAAAAGGATCTAATTTTAGTTGCCTGAAAAATTATGGCTTTTCCAGTCGTAATCTGCAAAGCCCATTTTTAGCTCCAATTAAAAGTTGTAAAATGTATTTACATTCTTAGGTGCGACATTGAGTATTTTCTTGGGTATTGAAATGCTTCAATGGTACAAAGGAGTATCTATGAGAAAGCATTAAAGGATCAATATCGTGATCCGTGTTTGTTGCTAAAGTGTTAGCACCTGGCCCTGTGGCTTAGGTGATATTGGGGGACAGAGGTGGAGGAGGGAGAGTTAAGGGAGAAGGACAAGAAATTGCATAGCTTCCTTACATAATGCAATGCCAAATAAATGAAGGTTTTGGCTATTTCAGTTGTTTGTTTTCTTTTGGCTTTTTCTTATCAACCCAGTCAGGGTCTAGGACATTCAGGATATGCCTGATAACAGAAGGATGGATACCAAACTACCTTCATGTGCTCAACTGTTTCATTGCAACAAAGTAACCCTCTCTGTTCAGAAGGGCATCAGTGATGTGTCTCCCTAAATAGGCAAGGTGAAAAGGCCTTAATCAACTCAGAGCAGTGCCTTCCCCAGCCTCCTTTTAGCCTTGGAGATAGAAAAAAAGATGTTAACGTGGCCTTAAGTTTGGTCCTGTACTCTGGTGGGGCTGTTTCAGTCCCGGCCAGTTTGCCTTCTGTTGAAGGGGTTGTGGGTGTGGTGGTTGGAGAGCGTCCGGTGCTGTAGGACTGAGGAGATGGTGTAGGAAAAAGGTCCTTGCACAGTAGGATAGAAATCGGAACCGAGTGCTCTGGGTAATTCACTTGGGAATGAAGAGCAAAGTCGGGGTTGCTGTTTGAGTAACAGCGTTTATTTAGCAAGTATTCACAAAGTATAGTTGTCTGCTACTTTTGCTAAGTGCATTTTCTCTCCAAATACTCAAGAACATGAATGGGGAAAGAATATTCATCCAATTTTTCTCTCTTTTAAAGGTCCTCTGGGAGAGTAGGGCTTTATTGTCTCCAAAAAAAACCTTAGCACGTCTTAAGTCAGAATCAGGAGTGATGTCATGGGGATATTTGTTGGGAAAGTGCTAATGAGGAGGATGGAGGATCTGGCCTTTGGGGTTAGACCTCACAGCCTCTTCCTGGCATCAGGGACTCTGAAATGCTCTGAAGGCAGAGCTCTCTATCGTGTGCTGCCCATTCCAGAATCATTAGCGGATATAGAGCTTTTTGGTTTTTATAAGCAATAATTTGTTGTTTATAGGTTAACTTGTATGTACTTTTTGGTTTATATCATGATTTGGAATGTGCATTTAGCAGCCTTCTAAATGACCATGAAACTGTGAAGGATTAGTTAGCCTTACTTAGGGTTAAGATTACCTTGGGGGTTTTCTTGGAATAACTCTCACATACTCCAATTCACTAAACAATTACATGATTCATGTATTTAGAGTCTTGGAGAACGAGTTGGTGCGATAACCACCTA